CATAGGCAGTTTCACTTGAGAAATGATCGTTTTTTCAACAAATGGTTCTGAAACAATTGGCTGTCCATATGTACAAAATGAGCTTGAATTCCTACTTCACACCACTGAAATAGTTTAGAGACCTAAATGCAAACCTAAAGCTATAAAACTTCTAAGAGAAAACCTTTGTGACTTTAGATGAGGCAAAAATTTCTTAGATACAACAAAAAAAAAAAGTTAATACATTGGACTTTATAAAAATTATACCTTCTGACCTTCAAAAGACACTGTTAAAAGAATGAAAAGACAAGACACAGATTGAGAGAAAATAATGTACAAATCAGTTTTTTTTTTATAAAAGATGACCGGTAAGGGGATCTTAACCCTTGACTTGGTGTTGTCAGCACCACGCTCAGCCAGTGAGCAAACCAGCCATCCCTATATGGGATCCGAACCCGGGGCCTTGGTATTATCAGCACCACACTCTCCCGAGTGAGCCACGGGCCAGCCCTACAAATCAGTTTTCTAATAAAGGCTTTATATCCAGAATTTATTGTCTAAACTTTCAAAACTTAATAATGAGAAAACAAACAACCCAATTAAAAAGTGAACAAAATATTTGAACAGACACATCACCAAAAAATATATATATAGCTAAACATACACCTATAGTCTAGCCATTCCACTCCTAGGTATTTACCCAAAGGAAATAAAAGCCTATGTCCATATGAAGACTTGAGACTGGTTAAATTACTGTACAATAGACCTCCCTTATCCGTGGTTTTGCTTTCTGCAGTTTCAGTTACCCACGGGACAGTACAATAAGATATTTTGATAGAGACCATATTTACATAACTTTCATTACAATATATTATTATAATTCTGTTTTATTATTAGCTATTGTTAAGCTCTTACTCTGCCTACTTTGTAAATTAACCTGTATCATGGGTACGTGTGTATAGGAAAAAATATAGCATATGTAGGGTTTGGTATTGTCTGTGGTTTCAGGCATTCACTGGGGTCTTGGAATGTATACATCCCCTGCAGATCAGGGGATCTTCATACACTGATATGTTATGCACATATTCAAAATAAGGAGGTCTGTTTATTCATCCAACAAATATATTAAGTGCTTACTATGCTGGGTATGATTCTAGATTCTAGGAATATAGCAGGGAACAAAATAGACGAAATTTCCTGCCTCATTTGCTTATATTCTGTTTTGGGGACACAGACAATGTTTTAGTTTCCTAGGGATACTATAACAAAGTACCACAAACTAAGTTGCTTAAAACAACAGAAATGTGTTCTCTCAAGGATCTGGAGGCTATAAGTTCTTCTGAGACTCTGGATAGAATCCTCCTTTTTTCCTCTTTCTGGCTTCTAGTGGTAGCAGTGAGTTCTTAGCATTCCTAAGCTTGCAGCTGCATCACTCCAATCTCTGCCTTTGTTGTCACATGGCATTCTTCCTGTATGTCTGTCTCTTCTTACTAGGATACCAGTCATATTGTACTAAGAGCCCACCCTATTCCAGAAAGACATCTGCAACAACCCTAATTCCAAATAAGATCACCTTTTGAGGTACTGCGGGTTAGGACTCCAACATATCCTTTTTGGGGGACACAGTTCAACGCCTAACAAACAATAAGCAAAATAAGTAAGTTATATGGTATTTTAGAAGAGGGATTGGCAAACTATGGCCTGAAGACTAAATCCGGTTTATAGCTTATTTTTGTAAGTAAAGTTTTGTTGGAACACAGCCATACCCATTCATTTACACATTGTCTATGGCTGCTCTTGCACTCTAGTAACAGAGTTGACCAGTTGCAACAGAGAATTTAAGGCCCACAAAGCCTACAGTATTTATCATCTACATTTTACAGAATGTTTGTCAGCCTATTTTAGATGATGTTAAAGGGCTATGGAGAAAACTCAGGAAAGGAGAAATAAGCAATACAGAGTGGTTAGGGAAAATCTCTATGAGAAGGTGAATATGAGCAAAGCCTACAAAGAATTAATCTTTATGTATTAACTTAGAAAGATGTCCAGTATGTAGTGTTTAGTGAAAAAAGCAAGTTATAGAACATTTGTCACTTGTGTGATCCCCTCTTTGTAAAATAGGAAAGTATATATTTATACAATAAAAAGTTATAATATATGCACAGAAAATTTTTCAAGAATATCCACTAAAATGTTCACAGTAGTTATATCTTGGGGGATTGTAGGGGACTTTCACATGACATTTTTCCAATTTTTTTTCATTTAACATTTTAAAAATATCATTGTTATAAATTTAATTCCTTATATGTTTTTAAGTTATATCAAAGGCTTAATGTATATGAAACAGTAATGGTGGATTCAACCACTTGCCTAAGTTTGATCTTATCTTGTCTTATCTTGTTATATTTGTTTTTTTTTTTTTTGTTTTTTGTTTTTTAAAGATAACCGGTAAGGGGATCTCAACCCTTGGCTTGGTGTTGTCAGCACCACGCTCAGCCAGTGAGCAAATCCACATCCTATGTAGGATCCGAACCTGTGGCCTTGGCGTTATCAGCACCGCACTCTACCGAGTGAGCCACGGGCCGGCCTTATCTTGTTATATTTGAAAGAGGAGTCACTAGTGCTTATGCTAGAATTTAACCTAGTACTGAGCAAATCTTAAAATGAACTTTTGTCTCTGTGTGCATAGAACAGTTTGGCAGTTGAAGAGTCAGTAGGTTTAACTCAGTGCTAGTAGAAGACAAAAGATTCACTCTGTTAAAGAACTGCTTTACTTGTTGCTTTTGTCAAATCAACAAAATGTCTCTTTCATGGTCTGTGACATTACATACACATCAAGGAAGTTCAACTTAGACATGAGTGAGCCAATAATATTTGCAAATGTGTATGAAAATGTGGTAACACTAGGATATTTGTATACTCTTACACAAATGTTTATGGTACTATTTTATTATGAAGCTAAGAAGATATGTAAAATGGGATACTTTATGCAAACCTGAAAGCCTAACAGCAGACAGAGATTTAAAAAGTACACATATAATAAATATTATCAAAGTCAGCCTTTTTTTTTTTTTTTTTTTTTAAAGATGACCAGTAAGGGGATCTTAACTCTTGACTAGGTGTTGTCAGCACCACGCTCTCCCAAGTGAGCTAACCAGCCATCCCTATATAGCAATCCAAACCTGTGGCCTTGGTGTTATCAGCACCACACTCTCCCAAGTGAGCCACAGGGCTGGCCCAAATTCACTGATTTTTAATGTACAATTTATAGGAAACCTGTGGGTCTCCCACATCTCTGCATGTCTTATGAGCAAAAGCCCGAACTGCCTTTTTTATTGGATTATCTTTTTTTTTTTTTTTGGTGGCTGGCCAATACAATGATCCAACCCTAGACCTTAGTGTTAGTACCGTGTTCTAAGCAACTGTGCTAACTGGCCTTCTTTTTTTTTTTTTTCTTTTTAACTATCTTTTTTCAATGATGTTCGAAGATAGAAATGGTATTTCCCCACAAAGGGCAGGTTGGGTTACAGCCTTGAAAGATAGAGGTAAATGTCTCCCTCTAGAGTAAAGGGTAGGCATGCCTCCTGCTCATTTTTAAAGATTTGGGTTTCTAAAGCTCTGCCTTCCTCTCCTATAAGGCAACCTCTGCATGTGCATGTGTCACCTGACTCTTCACAGTGCCCTGTGGGAATTGGGGCTCAGGCAACTGGCACAAGAAAATGCTCATACTCTAACTACTGCTGTTGCTATGAGTAATTAAGTCCTTTGTCTCTGACTCAGAAGTCTCCTGTCTTTTGCTAGTATCCATGAAACTATGGCAAGCTAACTTATTAGCTTGCAAGTAGGATAAAATCTCAGAGCCTTCATAATTCTAGACACAATTCAGTGAATTTTGACAAATGTATAGTCTTATAATCATCACCACAATTAAGTCATAGAATATTTCCATCACCCCAGAGAGTTCCCTTGTGCCCCTTTACATGTATTCCCCTTCTCTACCTCAGCCCCAGGCAACCCCCGAGCAGATTTCTGTCACCCTAGTTTTGTCATTTCTAGAGTTTTCTGTAAATAGAATTATATAGTCATAGCCTGTTGTGTCTGGCTTCTTTCATTCAGCATAATGGTTTTGAGACTCATTCATGCTATTGTGTTTATCACTAGTTCATTCACTTATTGCTGGGCAGTATTCTATTGTACAGATATGGATAAACAAATATCTCCATTCATCAGTTGATGAACATTTGGGTTGTTTCCAGTCTGGGACTATTATGAATAATGCTGCTATAAATGTTTAAGTCTCCATGTGAACATGTATTTTTTATTTTTCTTTGGGTACATTTTAGGAGTAGAAATCCCATGTCTAACGGTATGCTTTTAACTTGGTAAAAAACTGCCAAATTGTTTTCCAGAGTGTCTGTATCACTTTGCATTCCTATCTGGGTAGTTTTAATTTGCATCTCTCATTTTGAGTAAGGTTGAAAGTATCTTTTCATATGTTTGAGTTACTTGTTTTTCCTTTTCCATAAACTGCCTATTCAAATCATTTTGTCCGTTTTTCTAAAAGGTAGTAGAATTTTTTTTTTTAGCGATTTGTAGGCATTCTTCACTATATTAGGGAATATTTCTGGTAATGCTATGAAATTACAAACATTTTTTTTTCCATTTGTCAGGTATCTTTTGAGATCACTTATGGTAAAGTTTTGCCATGCAGAAATTTGTCTCTCTGAAGTTCTCAGCCTCACAGTTCTGTACTAATAGTGTAAGACTTCACGTAGTAAGGAAACAGGATTGCTCTTTTAATTGACCTTAAAGTATAAATTGTTTTCTAGCAGTGTTTTATGTAGCCGTAACTTCAGTGGGAATAAAAAAATATTTTCTGAAGACTTCAACTTGTTTTCTGAATTTTCATAATAATTTTACCATCTTTTAGAAAACAACTACACAATGGAAACAAAGGATTGTGTCTTAAGTATATATAAGAAAAAAAATATTAACAATAATATTACATGTGTTTGTTACAGAAATATCTATGCAAGATGTTAATGTTGCAGACTTGGCTAGTGCAAGCCTTGTTTATTTTCCTTATCACTGGATCTGTAGGTAAGGTTCCTACTTCCAACTCCACAAGTTAGGTTTATAAGTTTTTCTATAGTTATATAATTAAGCTTATGTTTAATAATTGTATAATTATGCTTATATATTTATTCTTTCTGGGATTATTATTGAGAGAATAATATTGTCTTAAAGTGATTTTAATAAGTAAAAATACTATTGATAATCTGTTTTGTATAATTTGAGTTGTCACATTCAGTCATTCAGAAATCCTGCATGCTCTTTAGCTATACTAACAAAAACTTCAAGGTGGGAAAGAAAAAAAAGTGTTTGTTTTTTTTTTTAAATAAAGAAATAGGGGAAAATCTGTTAACTCTTAGTACTTCACTCCTTAATTGTCAAAAGTGTCACTGAGCAGTGTGGTTGCGATACCAGAATGAAGAGGTACCTGAAGCATTACTATTCAAACTGTAGTCCATAGCCTAATGGCTATCTGAGATCTGGTTGTTATTGGTCCACAAAGAGATAAATACAGAAATTAAGAATAAATGTTTAGTTGACATAGCTATGACACCCAAGCACGTAATCAGTAGACTAGTGTCATTGAACACATATAGAACAAAAGTATACATTTGGGACAGATTGGGAGAAAAAACTCATCTTCATCACAGATAGTTTGAGAAGCACTGCTTGAAATCAGTCCCTCTCTAAATTCAGAAATGCAACTTCTTTTTGAACAAGAGACAAAAAGCTTATGTTGAAAATCCTTCTTATTTAGCAAAACGCTTCTTATTCTTTTTTGTGTATGTATTGGTGGGGGGAGTGGGTGTGGCTGGCCAGTATAGGGATCAAACCCTGGACTTTGGAGTTATTTGCACTGTGCTCTAACCAGCTGAGCTAACTGCCAGCCTTCCCTTTTTTATTCTTGAATGCAAATTTTCCTTCTTGTAACTTTTTCCCATTAATTCTAGTTCTAAAGTAGGCCAGTTTTTCTCTTCCCACTGTTCACCTCTTCAAGTATTGAAGGACTGCTTTCCTGTGTCTTTAAGCCCACTTCCCCAAACTAAAGTTACCCAGTTATCCTAATCATTCTTTATAGGATGTGGCTTCCAACCCTGTGCGTGCTGATTATTCTCTCGATTGCCTATATCACATTTAAAATATAATACCATCCTAGCTCTCCTACTTACCAGCTATAGAAGTTCCAGTCATTTAATCTGTGCCTCAGTTTCCTCCTTTATAGGATGGGGATAATAATGGTCACGACCTCCTATGCTTATTGTGAAGTTTACATGAGATAACATATGAGTATAGAAAGCGTTTGGACAAAGCATACCCCACACTAAGCATTATAAAAAGGATAGTTGTATATTTATTAATAAGATTATTTTTGAATGAAATGTACTTTATGAAAAAAATTAATTTGATGTAGTGGAACTAGACATAGTTTGAGTATAGTGAGTCTGTTACTTAGTTTGATCTGAATATCATTTTTATAAAGCAACACAGCCTTTTGGCAACTAAGATATATCATAGTTTCATGTTAAAAACTAGTGGTCACTGAAAATTCTCAGGTTGTTTTCAGATGAATTACTTTTAAGCTAATTCTCCCTCATCATACATATATATATATATAATCAACCTAAATAGGAGATGTTTCCTCTTTTGCAAATTTCATTTTGTTAGTTTTAGGCTATTGTTTTAATCATTCAACAACATAATTTTGAATCCTAACATTTTCATCGAAAATGTTGGCAATTCTTCATAGTCCTGTCCTCTGCTGATTTGATAAGTATGTGTCTCTCTCTGTCGTCTCCCAAGTTGTTGATTAAAATGCAAATAACAGGACTACATTAGTTTTCTATTGCTGTCTCACAGATACCCTAAAACTTCATGGCTTAAAATGACAATAATTATTATCTCTCATGGTTTATATAGGTCAGGCATACAGACAGGCAGGCACAGCCTGACTGATTCATCTTTGCTCTACAGTGTTTGGGACCTCAGCTAGAATAGTCAAAGACAGGGGGCTAGAATCAGGCTCCTTCACTTTCATGTCTGGTATTATGCTGGCTATAGGCTGAGGGCTTTGCTGGGGTTGTTGGCCAGAACACCACACATAGCCTCTTTATTTGGCCTTGCCTTCTTTACAACAATGGCTGGGATCTAAGGACAAATGTCCCAAGAGAGAAAGAAAGCAAGTCAGAAGCTGCATTCTTTTAATGATCTAGCCTTGGAAATCACATAGCACCCTCCATTGGCTGGAGCAGACATAAGCACCCACACAGAGATCTGAGATGGGCAGGGAGAATGTAAGTCCTACCTCTTTGTGAAAGGAGTAGCATTGTAAGAAGTAGCATTGTAAGAAGATGTGGGATGGGATAAGTATACAGGTGTGGCCATCTTTCTAAAAAATAATCTGCCCCAAAAACTGAGGGCAGGCACTTCTACATACTCTACTTAAGACCTCCCTTTCATTGACTTTTTCTTAGTGTTTTTTATATATGAGTAATCAATTACAAATTTATTAGTTTGAACCTATGGAAAATAGCCAAATGTCAGCAATTTCATAATGTTCATTCTAATATCCATTATAGTATATTCTAAACCACACTTCTTCATCTTCATTTACTTCATCAAATACCTTTTTTAATTAAAATAGTCTCTTTCTACAATTTAATCTCAGACTGGTGGCCCCATAAAAATGGGATTAATTTGGCATGGGGTGGTTTTAATGAGCCTGTGTTTCACTTTGAAAACTGGGACATTTGTGGCTCACTTGGGAGAGTGTGGTGCTGATAACACCACGGCCACGAGTTCGGATCCCTATGTAGGGATGGCCAGTTGGCTCACTTCAGGTGCTGACAACATTAAGTCAAGGGTTAAGATCCCCTGACCAGTCATCTTTTTTTTAAAAAAAATGGGACACTTGCCCATTTCTAGTATTTCTCTTATTCTATGTGATTAAAAATTAATAATATTGAGTCTCTGGTTAAGTCTTATGTAATTTAGTACTCTAGAGTATATTTCATATTTACTTTTCCCAATAATTACTTTAGAGAAAGTATAACAGGAGTGATTTTGCCATGAATAAAGTGAGGTCTAGATAGTTGTAAGGATTGGCCCATTGTGACAGGATAACTTATTAGTAGAGATCCTCCACAAGATGAAGTCCCATACTTCATACTTGAAAACTGAGAGTAATATATGCACTGGGACTTACAATCGACATGTATAGATAATGGCAAGGTAATATAAACAGGCCCCATTATCAGTTTTGAAATAAAGAAATATGCATTTCAGCTCTGGGCTTTATAGCACTGTGAGAGGTCTCAGAATTCCATTTAGAAGTACAATTTTGGGCCGGCCCTGTGGCTCACTCGGGAGAGTGCGGCACTGGTAGCGCAGAGGCCATGGGTTAGGATCCTATATAGGGATGGCCAGTGCGCTCACTGGCTGGGCGTGGTGCAGACCACACCGTGCCGAGGGTTGCAATCCCCTTACCGGTCAGAAAAAAAAAAAGTACAATTTTGACTGCAAAGACCATTTTTAATTTTTCCTGCTGACTTTGGGAGATAGGGAATAAGAAAACAATTGCTTGACTTTTTTTTTTTTTTGGTGGCTGGCCAGTAAGGAGATCCGAACCCTTGACCTTGGTGTTATCAGTACCACACACTAACCGAGAGAGCTAACCAGCCAGCCCTTAATTGTTTAACTTTTTTAAGTAGTTTTATTCTTTGTGCCATCTAGTTTGGGACCAAGTTGGGGACTGAAAGAGTCTAGCTGATTAATTGAGGCCTACTCTGGAAAGGTATCTCAGCTTTCTTTGTTTGTAAGATAAAGGGTTGAAGTAAATGATCTCCAGGGTTCTTTTCAGTTCCATAATTCTGTGGTTCTATGCCTTTCACCTTACCTGCTAAAACCAGTCACCTCTAATGGAACTCTCCAGACCCTCTTAGTGTGACTAGACCATCTGTCTCTGGAGAATAGTAATAATGATGATAGATTACCATTTATTGGAGGCCTGTTGAGTACCAGGCATAGTTCTAGGTGCTTTATATAAGTAATTTTTAATCTCAAAAAAACCTTCAAGATAGCCATTATTAACTTCATTTTCCAAAGGAGAAAACTGAAAGTCATGTAGGACAGGTAACCACCCAAGAACCCGTTGGCAAATGGGGTTCATTGGGGAAAACTGCCTTAAATTTGTGGGCATTGAGGCTAGAGAAAGAGAACAGAATCATGCCAAATAGTTGGGACTCTTACCTTGATAGTAATAGGTAGACACTATATAATTTAAAGTAGGTAAATGGCATCACTTTAGAACAGTAATGTGGCATCACTATGTGGGATAAACTGGAAGGAGGTCAGACTGATAAAATATGATGGCCTGGGCTTCAGCAAAGTAGCAGTGGTGGGATGAGGTTGATGCACATCAAGAATATAGGTCCAACAAGACTTAATGTAATATTAAGTTGGGGGTTAGAGGGGACTAATTAGAGAGAGATGTTGAAGGTGACTAGACTACAAGGTATCTGGCCTAGATGGGAATGGTGCGGTTATCAGAAATAATAAGTTTAAAAGGGACTGTGATGCAAATAATTTTAGACATGTTCATTTAAAAATGCTTACCGGATATCTCCGGTGAATATATGTATGTTTACTAGGCTGTTTAAAACATGGGAGGTCAGAGCTAGAAAAGGATTTAGATCTCATCAACATGGAGTAGGTGACAGGTAAAGCATATAGTTGTGTTTTATTTTTTTAGCCAATCTGATTATTTTTTAACAGGGGATCTTATCTCATACATTTATTGTTAAAACTAATATATTTGGCCATCTTGTTCTAATCTTTCTGGGTTTAGTTTTTGTTTTACTGCTCTCTGGCTGTTTCCTTTGTTCTCTGAATTTTGATATATGGATGATGTGTGAAGTCTCTCTGTGCCCCATCTGCACTCCACGACAGCTTTCAGTGCTGAAGAAGAGGAGACTAGTATTGCCTGTTTTCGGGAGAGTTTAGTTTAGACCCTGGGTCTGAATCAAGGGACAGAATAGGTGGTGGGCAAGTATGAATCATGCTGCAGGAATTCTGTGTTTCCTAAAGAAAAGTTGGAATATTGTACCATGGGCTGATGCTTAAATAGGTTTTTCTTAATCCAGCTCTGTCTTATAATTTATATAGTTTGTTACACACTTAGGCATTAAATTCTCACCACATTAATTTTCAATTGTGTGTCTTCTGGGGATATTTTAGTGAAGATTGAGGGACTCTATATTGAGTGCTACCAGCTGGATATTATTTAGTATCAGAAAAATTCAGTCAATTTTTATATTTTCTGTTGTTCCTTTTCAGGTCAGCTTCTAGATCCATGTGGTCATATCAGCCCTGAATCTCCAGTTGTACAACGTGGTTCTAATTTCACTGCAGTTTGTGTGCTAAAGGAAAAATGTATGGATAATTTTCATGTAAATGCTAATTACATTGTCTGGAAAACAAACCATTTTACTGTTCCTAAGGAACAATATACTGTCATAAACAGAACAGCATCCAGTGTCACCTTTACAAATATAGCTTCATTAAATATTCAGCTGACTTGCAACATTCTTACATTTGGACAGATTGAGCAGAATATTTATGGAATCACAGTAATTTCAGGCTGTAAGTTTTGTTTTTGTCTTATTTAAGACTTTGTCGTGACTATTGAACATTGTTAATGGTGTCTGTTGGTCTTTATGAAATGTAATAACCTGTGGATTCAGTGACTTTTGAACATATTTATTTCAAAAAATAAGTTTGGAAGTAGCAACTACATTTGTATTATTAATATACTAGAAACCTAAAGAATAACATGTTTCATCTCTTTCCTGAAAGTCAAGCATTTGTCAGTTTTCTAGAAAAATATTTTGACACGAGACCCCTCAAAAAAGTATTGTTGAATTGAAGTCTGTGAATGTATTCATAGTATCTTCCAGTGTCCCTTAATTGCTAAGAAAATGCACATGTAAAGCATCTACCTGGAGAAGGTGAATAAATACTGGAAAAAGTCCTTAAAGGTCAATATAGACTTATGTGATCCTAAAGTGGGTTATTAAATTTGTGGATCATCCAGACTTCACAATTTCAGCATTTTATTTCTTCTAACAGAGTTTGGGAAAGCAATGAAAAGAGAAATATAAATGAATCATTTTTGCTTCTACTTAATTGCCTCTATCAACATATGTAAAATACACTTAGTGGAGAAATCAGTTGATATTTTTATCTAGTTATAAATGAAGGCTGATTTTATGTAGAAAATTAATGTGAAACAAGCTAATGACAATTATGATAGCAAATCTATACTACTACCTAAAAAGCAGTTTAAAAATTTGAATAGAAGAGAAATTAACTTTTTAGTCACCAGTCTTTCATTATGTCAGTACTTGTTGCTTGGGTTTCTTTTTCTATTTCATATAAATTGTAAATGTCTTGAGTAGTAATTGCATCATATTTGTGGATATGAAGCTTTTTGAAAACTGCTAATTATTCCCTTTTAGTCCCCCCAGAAAAACCTGAAAATTTGAGTTGCATTGTGAATGAGGGAAAGAAAATGATGTGTCAGTGGGATCCTGGAAGGGAAACGTATCTGGAAACAAATTTCACTTTAAAATCTGAATGGTAAGTTATTTTAAGTTAATTGGATGTTGGATTTATTCTTCTTTTGTTGTTTTTTGGTTTATATTATTTATTTATTTATTTATTTTTTTTGCAGCCAGCTGTTATGGGGATGTGAATGTATGTTGGATTTATGAAGTTAGTTATTTTTGCTGGATTTTTTTATTGTCAAGTAATAATTTTAAATGCAAATTTTTAAACATTTTATTTAAATTTTTATTTTAGAACATCTGAAATATATATAAAAGTAGAAAGAATAATATAATAAATCCCCAGGTACCTATCAATCATCTTCAACAATGATCAGCTCATGACCATTATACATACACACCCCACCCCAGATTGTCTTGAAGAAAATCTCAGACATCATGTCACTTCGTCCATAAATATTTCAGTACATATGTCTGAAAGATAAGGACACTTTTAAAAAACATAACCATATACCATTGTTACACATAAATATAATTTAAATGCTTTAATATAATCAAATTTTCAGTTAGTGTTAATTTCCCCAGTTGTCTATATATATATAGATCTGTTTTCTACATTTGTTTGAAACAAGATCCAAATAATCTTCATACATTGCAAATTGATAATGTCTTATAAGTCTGTCTCAAACCATAGGTTCCACGTGGTCCTCTCTTTTTTTCCTTGCAATTTATTTAAGATAACTGTCAATACATTGCTTAACATATTTCCTTATCCCTTTATGTCCTAAAAATTGCTATTAGATTTATAGACTTGATCAGATTCGTGGTTTGTTTTTTATTTCCTGAAAATATTTCATAGGTGTGATGTGTACTTTCATCAGGAACCACCACATAATGTTTGGTTGTTTTTCTTTTTTCTGATATTAAGATTGAGCAGTGGCACCATGTGTTGTCAGCCTTATTCATTCTTTATAAAATTCCACACTAGTTTTTTTCAAACATAAAAAAGTTGAAAGGATTTTATAGTGAACACTCATACATACCCATCACCTAGATTCTACAGTTATCATTTTACAATACTTGCTTTATCACATATCTATTTATCTGTGCATTCTTCTCTCCATCTATCAATCCATGTCTCTTCTTTTTTATGTATTTCAAAGTTAGTTGCAGGCATCAGTATATTTAACATTTAAGTATTTACATCATTGACCAGAGTTCAATAATTGTTTTCAGGTTTGTTTTTATTTTTAGGTAAAATTTATGTATAGTGAAATACACAGATCTTAAGTGGATCATTCAATGAGTTTTTGGCAAGTGCATACATGTAATTCAAACCACTATCAAGACATAGAACATTACTAACACCCCCAGAAAGTTCCCTCACACTCCTTCCCAGTCAATCCCAGCCATCACCCCACCCCATGAGGCAACTACTCCTCTGCTTTTCTTCATCATAGATTACTTTTCCTGTTACAGAACATCATATAAATGGAATTAAACAGTATTTTCTCTTTTGCGAAAGGTTTTTATGACTCAGCAGAATGTTTCTGAGATTAAACCATGTTGCTTCCCATTAGTTTTTCCTCTACAGGTTTGAGCAGTCATCAGTGATCATTATTTGTATATGAGTTACAAAATTGTGTTTTTGGTTTTTTTTCTTAGCTGATATACTTAAAGAAAACTTCCTTTCATCATAAAGTTCAGGTAACAGGGGCAAAATAGGGTTAACATTTTCCCTTTATTACCACTTTTATAATGAGTTCATTCCCTAACATCCTCCAAAGGTAGATAATGAGAGATTTTCTCCTTCATTATGAATTCATATTTGAACATATCTGACATGTTTCAGTCTATTATGGTTATTATCGATGCTTAACTGTCCCGTCTTTCGTCAGAGGGAGTTTCTTTAAATTGGCTCATGCATCCTTTTGACACAACTTTATTAGTCTTTGATAGCTTGCCTGATTTCTGGTATGACATGATTTTCCAGGTCGATCTCAAATATTTCCTCTCCTAGAGCTGGAATCAACCATTTCCCAAGGAGCCCTAGTTCCATTTAGTATGAAATAATATTTAGAGACTAATCTGGTTGCAGGAGGCACTAATTGCTACTGGGATGTCATTGTTTCTAGGTTTTCTTAGTGGAAAGAACTAGGAAATGTTTGTGGTTTGAGATAAAATATGTCATAACAAAAAAGATATGAACTCTTACTGATATTTCCAGTTTAAAATCAGGATTAAAGGTTTTTTCATAATTTTATTCATCTAACATCTACATCTCCTTTCTTCTGCACTGAAAACCCTAGTTCCCAACACCATCAACGTAATTATTTGCTTTGTCCCACAATAAACACAACAGCTGCAGAATAACAATGCTAGTATTAACACCAACAATATGATTACTAAAAATGATTTTAAGATTGTTTTCCTGCATGAAGGATGTGTAGTCAAATCACTGGGGGGTTTTTTTGTCTTTTTTTTTTTAACTGACCGGTAACGGGATCACAACCCTCGGTGTCGCACCCGTACCAGGGACCGGCAACGGAATCGCAACCCTTGGTGTTGCGCCCGCACTGCGCTCAGCCAGTGAGCGGGAACCGGTCTCCACATGGGAGCCGAACCCTCGGTGGGAGCACCGCCGCACTCCCAAGTGGCGCACTCTCCAGCGCACCACCGGGCCGGCCCAAATCACTCTGTTTTTAAGGTTACTTGAAATAGTTCCTTTTTGTGTGGTTGTACCACAAACTCAATACACAAGTTTAGATATTTCATTTTGCTTTTGATTTTTATGAATTTTTCATAATAATTATGCAAAATAATAAATTAATCCAAAAAGTTAAATGTATAAAACAAGGTATATCCAGAGAAGTCTAGTTTCTATCCCTGTCTCCTCTACCTTATTTCCTTTTTCCACCTAGATGTTATCCATTGTTCTCTTGGTTTGGTTTTGGGATTGGCTTATCCTTCTGTTATTAAAGAGTGTTTAATAATTGAGGCATAATTCATACACGTGAGTAAATATAGTAATATTACTTGAAACTTTCTATGGTGATAGAAATAAGAAAGTGGTCGCCTGTGTTTGACTACAAAAGAGGCCAAGGGAATTTTCTGGGGTGATAGAAATTCTTATTCCTAACCTCCTGTCACTTTCTAGCATATTGCACTTAGAGAAAGCATATTGTGCTTATAGAAAGACATTTCTGGTACAGTAACAATTCTGTTTCAGGAGAGGAGAAAAACAGTACTAGGATTACTAAGAAATAGTTTTTGGAGAGGGGTCAGTGGGAATGGAGCATAAAATTCTGAAGTTCAATATTCTTTAGAGTAAAAATTTGTCTTAATATGTAGATCAAACTCAGTTTTAAAGAAATGGAGGTAATTTTTAAGAAATTTTGTTTTTATTGATCTACAATTTATTGCTACAACAATCTGGATCTCATCAAACTCTTTTCATGTAACTTTTTTCACTCTAATTTTTTCATATCTATTTTTAATAACTGATTCTTCCATTTTTGTATTTAGGGCAACAGAGAAGTTTGCTGATTGTAAAACAAAACGTGATACCCCCACTTCATGCACTGTTGATTATTCTCCTGTGTATTTTGTCAACATTGAAGTCTGGGTAGAAGCAGAGAATGCCCTTGGGAATGTTACGTCAGATCATATCAATTTTGATCCTATAGATAAAGGTAGTTGTAAGCCTGAGTTTGAGAGTTTATTAGACCATTAAGTTTATAAATTAAAGTAGTTTTCAGATTTTAATTAATGTAGAAACAAGCATTTAATTATTTTAGTGATTTTTAGAAAGTCATTTTATCAACAATATTAAATATAATTTTTAAAAAGAAAAATATTCATAATCCAGCCTGCTCAGAGCTATTTTCACTTTAAATGTTACCATCTGGCATTTTTTCAATTCTCAAACATTTTACACTATTGTAGTCATAGTGTACATGTTTCATTTTGATTTCTCTTTTTAAATTTTTGATATATAAATATTTAATTATCTTGATATCTGAACCTGAAAAGATTAACAAATGTAATAAACTGACAAGGAAAACTAAGGTTTCTTTAGAAACCTTTCCTTTCTATTATATAGATTAGTATAGCATTGTTTTCAGAGAAATTAGTTCATTTAGTAAGGATAAATAAATATTGTAAAATAAAGTAATATAAAGAGTATGTTTGTTTGTATATGAAGTTGTAAAAATAAAACGTGATAAACATTAGGATTTATTTTATTCTTCAGTGAAGCCCAATCCACCACGTAATTTATCAGTGAGCAACTCAGAGGAACTGTCTAGTATCTTAAAATTGACATGGATCAACCCAAGTATTAAGAATGTTCTAAGACTGAAATATATCATTCAATATAGGACCAACGATGCCTCAACTTGGAGCCAGGTAAACTGAAAGTTATTGATTATTCAAATAGCCTTTCTTGCAGCCTTTTAACCTCAAAGTCTCAAAGATTTTCTGAATGTCTTAAGTCTAGTTATGTGAAACATTTTGCTTGATACCTCTTCTGGGTGTCAAGGGCAAACAGGAGTATATCAAGATAGAAAATATAGCCTTTAAGTGAAATATGGAAGTGATGCAGGATGATAGAAAATAGCACTTTTGATGGAAGGTGAAAGAAACACAAGTAATAAAAAAGCAAATAAGGTAGAGAATCAAAAGTAAAGAGAATATAAGGATAAGGTAGAGCAGGGGTTGGCACACTACAGACTGCAGGCCAAATTCAGCCAACCATCTGTTTTTGTAAATAAAGTTTTATTGGAACACAGCCACATTCATTTGTTTATATATTATCTCTATTTTTGTGCTACCATGGAAAAGTTGAGCAGTTGCAGCAGAAAGTATCTGGCCCACAAGCTTAAAATATTTACTATCTAGCCCTTTATAGAAAGTATGCCAGCCCCCAAGGTAGATGAGATTGGTGGGGAACTTGTAAAACTGAGAAGCAAAAGGATGGTGTACCCAAGGATGATGCTGTTAGCAAAAGAAATACTTGCAGCTTTTTATTTTTTGATTTTTTTTATTATTAGCATATTCATTCTTACAAATCGTGATATTTCCTTATGCCCTTTACCCGGCCCATCACTTCCCAAATCCCCTCCCTCCCTTCCCCTGATCTTTAGTATCTTAGGTTTGTTCTCTCCTTCTGAAAGTTCAACATATTGTTGTGGTCTTTTCTTTACCTTCATTCTTCCCTCCTTTCTTCCCTTCTTCCCACCCTCCCTTCCATCCTCACTTCCTTGCAGCCAGTTATGAGTGAGAATATGTGGTATTTCTGTTTCTTTGTCTGAGGCTATCACGATAGCATTGAACAACCCATACTATTTATGATTCCATTTATCACTGACAGTATGCTTTTGCTTTTGTTGGTCTGGTCTCAATAATGAGCTTATAAGGGAATTGAGCCCATGACCTTACTACCTCTGTCTTCCGTCCTGCTTATCTAAAAGGCTCAGAATACAATCAGGAAAAGCAATAAAACAAAATTGGATTAATCCTTCCTGTTGTACAGAGAGGACACAATACCTCAAATGCTTCAAAATACTGTTTAATATCATAGAATCTTAATTCAGTGGTAGGGAAAAAAACTGATATCTATTTTATATTCAATATCGAAATCTCAGAGTTGTTGAAAGAACCAGAGTTGTTTATATTTAATATCCTCTTTTTTTTCTGAAAGCCAAGTTTATCTGTTTTATACCTGTTGTTTTTCTTCATTGGGCTGGACATCTTCCTTTCACCTGTCCAGATCTTCACTCTACCCTTCTCCACTCTGCTCTTTGTTGTGACATGCTGACTTGTATGGATTTCATCTGTGGGTTCCCATTCTGTCTAGCTTCTTAGTGAGTTTGTTTAATGGCAGGAGAGAGGAGGAATAGAAGAGAAGAGAGATTGGCATGTTTATTTCCCCTGCTTCCCCTCTAGAGCTGTCTCTCAACCTAAGGTCACTGCTACTATCAAGGCAACAGTCTCTTTCCGACCCTCTTCTTTCAGGTTCAGGTAACACTCCTCATCCCTCTGGACCTAGAGGTGGAAATAGCTACAAGCCCCAGAGTACTAACTGCACCATCTAAGGATTCCCTACACTTTGCCCATAGTTCCTTTACTAAGCCCTCCTTTTGTTAATTCTAAGTGGAGTGTGCCATCTAATTCCTGCTGAGATCTTGAGTGTTATAGGCCCTCTGGAAGAAAGAAAGAAAAATAAGGAAAGGAAGAAAAATAGATGTTTCTGTATTTCTCAAACCTAATAACTTTACTGATTTTAAATGCTTTTTAACTTTCATTTATTTCTCTCTAGAGGTTGAGTTTATTGTATTATTATTGTTTTATTAAATTTGTTTCTGGAATCTTCAACAATTTAGAAGACCATATTTATGGATTTTTTTTGTTTGTCGTTTTGCGTTGTTCGCAGATTCCTCCTGAAGATACAGCGTCCACCCGATCATCATTCACTGTCCAGGACCTTAAACCTTTTACAGAATATGTGTTTAGGATTCGCTGTATGAAGGAAGATGGTAAGGGATTCTGGAGTGACTGGAGTGAAGAAGCAAGAGGGATCACATATGAAGACAGTAAGTAAATAAGTATATGAAGAAATAAAGCTAGTGGAATTCTGGCTGTGAATTTTGTCTGGTTTTAATAATGCAGACCTCATTGCTTCTTGTTTTGTGATCATTTTACTCAAACTATAGTATTTCACACTTTCATTTTTAAGGAAATGCATTTTTAAATGTATTTTTAGGAATTATTGATAGTATAAATATATCTGATACTTAATTAAAGAAAGTTACCATGGAATGGTATCTTGGATACCACCAGAAAACCATTAACTTAACTATTGATAAGTCTAGAATATTTTATTCAAGGGGAGTTCAGAAATACTCCTAACTAGAGAATCATATCCTAAATCGTTAAAATCACATTATCTAGCAAAATATACCTTACACCCTCACTATCAAAAAGGTATTATACCCTTTATTCATTTTTTTCCTACCAGCACTTGATAAGCCCCTGAAAAAGGATTGATCCTGAAATTTTGGCTGGTTTATTTTCATTTTCCTTTTTTTTCCCCATAGATAATATAATGCATATAGTATAGAACACAAAAGGGAGGGCGTACAATCTGAAGTAAGATTTCCTCCCAAAGTAGCTAAGATAGCTAATTTCTTGTGTAGACATCAGGAAGTAATCCTATGACTGACATACAGATTTTTCTTTCTGAACATTTTTTCTATCAACAGTCTCATCCTTAAGGTCTCAACGGCAGCAGCTGTGGCTTAAAAACCTTCCCTACCACCTATATTTCTTTACTTCCAGTTCTACTTGACGTTTAGGTCATTATGTGAATTGAGACTATCAAAGGCAGAAAAGTACTCTTCCCCTCTTAAGAGTTTTCACTTTCACCCTCATAAATGGCAGGAAAGAAAGCAATCCTGCTATTGCTGGTTTGGGAGTCCTCAACCAGACTCCTTTATCTTGATCAGGAATTCTTAAACTGGGATTCTTGGGGCCTTCAGAGGTGCGTGCATGTTCGTGAAACACTTCAAAATGTAGGCAAAATATTGTGGTTTGTGCCTGTGTGCATTTTTCTGGGGAGAAGGTAAATAATAATCTTTGTCAAATCAAAGAGATCTCTGGAGCCCAAAAAGTTATGAGCTATTAAACTAGGTATTTCTTCAACTTAGTGAATGAATCCTTTAGGTTCTTTTTACATTAGGAAATATTTCTGGCCCATAAAACTTTCTTTATAATTTCATGTTCTTTATTCTGTTGGGTGCTGTACTGTACTCATGTCTATTATCTATTTGAACCTCCTATACCAACAGCCTTTTCCCTAGCCTTCCTGGTCTGCCTGTCTTCTGTTTTGTCATCTGTAATTGCTTCTTTGTGATCAATATATAACTGCTTAGATATTATTCAAATTCTTTCTTATTGTATTACCATGCTTGTGGTTATAAAAATTTTGAACACAAGTACAGTGTGGCACCCAAACAGAATAAAGGACATGAAACTATAAGAAATAAAATAAGAAATAAATGATGTCTCTTTGGTTATTGCTCATGATACATCTGTACCTTTACAATTTTGAGGTTAAAAAAGAGTTCTAATGTAATCTAAATCATCAAGCTATCACCTTGACTAAAGGAAGATGCAGGCATATCATGGTGGGATAGGATGATGCTGATATAAAGAGGTAGAGAGGGGCCGGCCCGGTGGCGCACTGCTATGGTGCGCCGCTTGGGAAGTGTGGCGGCGCTCCCGCCGAGGGTTCGGATCCCACATACAGACCGGTTCCTGCTCACTGGCTGAGCGAGGTGCGGGGGCAACACCAAGGGCTGCGATCCCGTTGCCGGTCCGGTACGGGGGCGACACTGAGGGTTGCGATCCGTTGCCAGACACGGAAAAAGACAAAAAAAATAAAAAAAAAATAAAATTGTGATGATAAAATCCTTCTCTTAATATTTGCCTTCACTCATTTGAGCTGCTGTAATAATAATAATTTATAAACAATAGAAGTGTAGTTCTCACTATTTTGGAGGCTGGGAAGTCCATGAACAAGGCACTGGAAGGTCTGGTGTCTAGTGAGGGCTGCTCTGCTTCCAAGATGGAAACTTATGGCTGCATCCTCTGCAGGAGATGAACAACACATGGCAGAAGGGATGGAAGGGGTGAACTCACACCCTCAAGCCAGAGAATAATGTGTAGGATTTTTTCTTATTGTAAAAAGCTTTTTATGAAGTTTATGTCTTTTCTTTAGGACCATCCAAAGCACCAAGTTTCTGGTATAAGATAGATCCATCTCATACTCATGGCTATAGATCTGTACAACTCATATGGAAGGTAAAAAAAAAAAATCAATTTTTTTTTTGCCTCTTTTATAAATACATTGTATATGGTATTATGAGTGGAGGTTTTTTAAACACTTAAATTTTTATTCATCTTAATATCAGCAAAGCATTCGAGAACTATTTTTATTAAATACTAACATAAAACTTTATATATACTATATAAATGTCAGGTTCATAAACTGCCTATAATACCTCACAAGTATTTCAACACAGTTCCATGAAAGTATAAGTTCTATAAGAAGACAGACCCTGTTTTGTACTTTATTGAAATTTTCCAGAGTGCCTCATAGAAAATAATTAATAAAAGTTGGCAGTAATCAAAATGCATGCTGATAAATTGATAAGTGCATGAAGATTATACTGAAAAAGATAGAAAATACTCAAGCATAAAATAAATAATTTAGGCCCCCATATCCACACTGCAGAATTGTACATAGAGCTAAAAGCTAACAGAATGATGCTACTTCCCCTCTTTTAGTTGAGGTCATGCTTTTTACAATATGTAAAATTTTTTGCAGTTTAAAGTATGTAAAAAAAAAAATTTTGTCAGTATGTATTAGTTTTATTTTAGTACTGAGTTCAAAATGAGGTTGCCAATCCTTCTAATTAAATATTTAGAGATTTTACATAATGGCAGAATTTGTGAACATGAAGAAAAACTGATTAACTTTATATAAGATTTATGAAATAAATTTTTTTAAACTATTTTATTACAGACATTGCCTCCTTTTGAAGCCAATGGAAAAATCTTGGATTATGAAGTGACTCTCAGAAGATGGAAATCACATTTACAAAATTACACAGTTAATGACACAAAACTAACAGTAAATCTCACAAATGATCGCTATACAGCAACTTTAACAGCAAGAAATCTGGTTGGCAAATCAGATGCATCTGTTCTAACTATCCCTGCCTGTGACTTTCAAGGTTTGTATCTATGAAATGGAGGCTGGCGCATGGATGGAAAAAAGGTGGTTAGGTAGGGATAGGACTCCTGTAAAAAGAGGAGTCTGAGACTATCTCCTCAGTATCAGGGGTGATCGTATTTTTAGAAATCAGTAGCAGGCAGATTTCATCAGAATTGATGAAATACTTCCGTCACTACATGGCTTACTTAAGCCTGCAGAAAACTACTTAATTTATTTAAGCGTTTTCCGATTACTTATCTGGTTCTGAAAATATTATTTCAAGGTTTTGAGAACTTTATATACATATGACTTAAATATATTGTTAATCTGTAGCTTCAAAGAAGAAAAAAGTGCAATTACAAATTTACATACACAAAACATTTGAAGAATTTAGGGAAAGCAAGAATTTAAGTTTAAAAATAACTTACCTGACATGTAAATTATAATAAGGGGCTTTTATACATGGAAATACATATTAATATTATATGCTACAAAAATTAATAAGTCACAGGTTTTGGAAATGACTGTAAAACATTGAAATTTCAAAATTTTTAATGTTCATTTGTTATATCAGAATTCAAACTTTGTTTTAAAGCTACTCACCCTGTAACGGATCTTAAAGCATTCCCCAAAGATAACATGCTTTGGGTAGAATGGACTACTCCAAGTGAATCTGTGAACAAATACATACTTGAGTGGTGTGTGTTATCAGATAAATCACCCTGTATCCCAGACTGGCAACAAGAAGATGGCACCGTGCGTCACACCTATTTAAGAGGTATATCTGGCTAGAAACATTTAAGTTGATATCCTTTTTTTTTTTACTTTTTGGACAGGTTTTTCTCTTGCATATTCTCTAATTTATAGGTGTTTTGGTCCATTGAAAAGACTTCTAGCTTATCACAGTCCCCCTAGATAATAGATGTGTGACTTTCAGCAAGTCACACATTACCTCTGTGACCTATCGTGTCTTTTTATAGACAGAGTGGGGTTAATACTATCTTCTTGTTATACCTCAATATTGTTTTATCATCAAAGGAAGACTTATGAAACTGTAAATTAATGAGAAATATAGGAGAGTCCAACCTTTGCTGATGACTAATTGTATGTTCTCTGTACCTAATTTAATTCCCTTGCCCTTCAAATGAGAAAATAGTTTCCTAAAGCATCTGGATGACTTGTTTAACTTCTTACAGCCATCCAGTACGGGAAGCAGAACTAGAACTCGGGTTTCCGCAGGCTTTCAGCTGAAAGTGCTAACAGAGGACAAAGTAATGATATTAGAAAGCTCCAAAATAGATTGTTATGTGTGCTAAGGTGCTACTTATTAAGTGGCTATAAAAATGACATAACTTGAAAGAAAGAACAAAAACACTCAGTTTGTACATACTTTTTTAATAAGTCTAATCATTAGAAATCAGCTGTGAATAATATGATTAATCAGAGAAAAGCTCTAAGCACAAGGATACCTGCCATAAAGATTTTTAGCTTTATTCATTAAATAGGCTGTTTGGCCCTTGTTGACCCATTATTTAATATTCAATTTTTAATAAGCTTGGTTGTCTAGTTTATCAGCCTTATCAAATTAAAACATGGTAGAACTAGGGAGGAGACAGATTGGACTAGACTATAGAAACTTTTTTTTAAAAAGCATAGTGTAGGCTTTGGAGACATTAAGTTTGAGCATGTAGCCCCATATATAGCTCAGTAGCCCTGAAAGCATAACTATTACAGCAGAATATAAAAATTGTTCATTTCTTGATAATATTGAATCATCAAGAAAAGGTAAAATTACTCTTTAAGAAGGGAAAGGAGAATATAACTTCATGAATAATAGTTAAAATGTAAATTCTTATTGAAGGTATAACTTCAGTATAACAAACACCTTGTTTTCTGATATGTACAAATAATATGCTATATCAAAAGAAAAATTTTACTTTTGCTTACTAAAAGAATGGATTACTTTGATAATTTAGAGGGATTATAAATAAAGGAAGTATTTAAGATAATTTTTTCTTTTAAAATTGTGGGAAAAAGAACACTAATTTTTTTTTCCAACTCATCCAACAAACCAGGGCCATTAATTAGTGCTTTTCCCAAGGTCTTACTAGTGGTATCTTGCTCAGTAGGCTGTTCTAAGAGAATTAGGTAAGAAATGCAAAAATTGTCAAACTCTAAGTAAGACCCAATGCAATTTGAGATCAGTGTTTTATAAATCCTGAATATAAATGTCATTACTTTTATTAACAATATAAATATTTTTTATCCACTATATTGGCAGTACGTACTTTTACAAACAGTTTTACTCTATTAAGCTTGAATCCAATACTCAAAAGGCAATGCTTGCTTAGAAAAGTGCAATTTTGAAAGAAAGAAAAGTTAAGTGGTTATGAAATTATAACGTAAAAATAAATAATGAACTAATTCAACTTTCTTATTTTGGGAAAAATATTAATCTGCTATTCTTACTTTAGGGAACCTAGCAGAGAGCAAATGCTATTTGATAACAGTTATTCCAGTATATGCTAATGGACCAGGAAGCCCAGAATCTGTAAAGGCATACCTTAAACAAGCTCGTAAGTCCAAACTCACTTTCTTTGAAAATGTTGAGTTTTGTATTAACAAAGACATTTGATCATTTTAAATAAGGATATGTCTCATTATGTTCAAATAATTTTATAAGAAATTTTACTAAATTCTAATGATTTTCCATTAGCAAATACATTTATTATGTTTCAGCACCTTCCAAAGGACCTACTGTTCGGACAAAAAAAGTGGGGAAAAATGAAGCTGTCTTAGAGTGGGACCAACTTCCTGTTGATGTTCAGAATGGATTTATCAGAAATTATACTATATTTTATAGAACCATCATTGGAAATGAAACTGGTAATAAAAGTATATTAGTTATTAAGAATTAGATTTTTTTTCTTAAGCTTTTGAATGTTAATTTAAGTCTCAGCTTCTTATGTTATACATCTTATTATAATATATTATCCTCAGAAGACACCTGAGAATATGTCTTATGATTGCTTTCATGGCTCTATCAAAAAAATATTGTGGTGTGCTTACTGAAGAATATTATGTCAGAGTTATGAAAGTTGTTTTCTGCCAAAAATATTTTAATTCTTTTTTAATACCTTCACAATGTCAAATATAGACTACATAACTCAAAAACATTGAGTAGCTGAATAAAGCACTGTTTTATTATGTCTTCCAGCTGTGAATGTGGATTCTTCCCACACAGAGTATACGCTGTCCTCTTTGACTAGTGACACATTGTATATGGTACGAATGGTAGCATACACAGATGAAGGTGGAAAGGATGGTCCGGAATTCACTTTCACTACACCAAAGTTTGGTAAGAAATAATGAAGTTTACTCTCCTTTTTTCATTTTCTTTTTAAAATTTAATCACACTAGAAATGGACTTAGTTTATGGGCTAAAATTTTGTTAAAAGTGCATCTTTGGATCCATAGAAATGGAGTGTTTATAAATTATTGTTTTTATATCGTTTATCTGATTTTGGTTGTTTCTTTAAAGTATAGAAAATATTATTCCTCATCTTTTTAATGTTTTATTAACTGTTTCTGACTGACTTCACCTATATCTAAATCCCAAAAGAACTTGAATATCTTTCTATATGGGTTAATTTGTTCACTGGCTTGAGTGTGGTATGTTTCCTTCTCTACTCTTGTTCCTTCAATTATAGACAGATTATTTGAAAGACTAGTCTACCCTTTCAATCACCACCTCCATACCTCTAGCTCAGTCTTTTTAACCTACTGAAATCAGGCTTCCAACCCCACCACTCCACTGAAACCTCTCTGCTCTTACTCATAGAAGACCTCTCAGCCATCGTATCCAGTGCATGCTTTTTAGTCTTCCTCTTTTTTCTGCTTTCTTCAGCATTTGATTCTTGGCCTTTCCATTCTTGAAACACCTTCCTGCTTGGTTTTCTTTTTCTTTTTTTTTTTGTCCTTTTTGAGACCAGCCGCACCGCGCTCAGCCAGTGAGCACTGGGAGCGCACCGGTCATCCCTATATAGGATCCGAACCCACCGCGGGAGCGCTGCTGCGCTCCCAGCGCCGCACTCTCCTGAGTGCGCCACGGGCTCGGCCCCCCTGCTTGGTTTTCTTTTTCTTTTTTTTTTTGTCCTTTTTGAGCCCAGCCGCACCGCGCTCAGCCAGTGAGCACTGGGAGCGCACCGGTCATCCCTATATAGGATCCGAACCCACCGCGGGAGCGCTGCTGCGCTCCCAGCGCCGCACTCTCCTGAGTGCGCCACGGGCTCGGCCCCCCTGCTTGGTTTTCTACCTGTACTTTTCTTTGCCTTTCTACTAGTACTCGCCTGAGTCCCTTCCCTCTCTGGTATTCCTTGTTCTCCTTTTCTGTTCTACATTTAAATGTTTTGTGTTCCCCAGAACTCTGTTCTTGGCCCTGTTTTCTTACCTGCCTATTCAAACTCCCATGTCCATGACTTCAGCCATCCTCTTCCCTTCCCAAATAGATTTCTTTCTTTGTTCCATATCACAACCACCCAACTCTTTGCCAAAGCCAGAAATTTAAATGTGATTGCAATAAATTTCTTCGTATCTTTTTCCCTTATATAAACAAAGTATCAAGCTGCACTGATTACGCCTAATTGCTGCTTGTGCCCACTCTTTTAAAATCGTCTCTTTTTTTGATTGTAAGCTTCTCATCATTCTCTCCACCTTTTTCTGTCTTTTCCCAGTGCATTGCCCTAGTTTAGGGCTAACTTTTCCCTTGTTTTGGCTGTTCCTATAACTTCCTTAAAGCCCACTTAAACTGCATTCTTTCTTGTTACCACCACATTTTGAATCATTATAGAAACTACCCTATTTTACTGTAATTGTATTTGTAACCCCCACCCCAAGTGTCAACACAGTGAATGATAAATAGTAAGCTCAGTTCTCGTTGGTTGAGTGATTGCTGAATGAGAGAATAAATGGATGAGGACTACATGAAATAGATAATAAAAAATCTTCAGCTTTGCTGTTAGGACCAATAATGAGTCTCCTTTTTGGGATAAGGTTTGTCCCATGTGGTGACATGTAAGAAGAATTAGATGTATGACAAATGATACTTGAAATAAAACTTTATACCATGATTTTTAGAAAAATAAAAATAAAATTTTTAAATATTTTTTCTAATTACGAAAGCAATGTTCATTATAGAGAATTTAGACTGATACAGTAAAATACAAAGAGGAAGAAAAATCAGTCCCAATCCCTTACCCCAAAATAATTTAACATATTTATATATCCTTCCAGTCTTCTCTTCTGTATACTATATACGTTTTTTTTTTCTTTTAGATGCTTCATAACCTGCTTCTTTCCAATTGTATATCTGTTGTCTCAGGGATCTATTATGGCTTCTTCACATGGCATGGGTCTTGCCACCAAGAACCTTAAATTATTATCTCAGTTGAAGAAATATGGCATAAGTAAACAAAACAAATAGAGAGCCAATTGGGTTATGTAAAGAGTAAGTAAAGTAGGAATTAAAAAATATCAGTAGAGGAAGTTTTACCTTCAAAGAAGGTTTCGTAGAGGAGATCTTGAAGTCAGGATGTGGACAAATGAGAAGAAGAAGGCATCACAGAGAGCGGCGCAAGCAAAGGCCCAAGGCACGAAAACATAAACACAGAAGTTTAGCAGCAATAAAGGAAGGGTTCTGCCTAAGTTAGACTCGGTATTATATATACGAGATCCTTAATATTCAAGAGTTAATATTTGCCAACCCATGGTTTATTAATCTGATGTCTTGATTTCTACTGGGCTTCATAGGATGTAGAGTTACTGACAAAGGGATATTTGTGGTGGAAAGATAAAACTAAGTGAATAGTAGTAAATGACTGTGATGTTACTTTTAGACATTTTTTCCTGTAAAAGACTAATTAAAGGGGAACTGGACTAACCAAAAGCAACCCCTAAATCATTTAAAAATATCTCCAACATTAATTATTCCAGTTAGTAAGTCATTTGATTACTAAGTCTTCTTTTAAATGCAGATGGGGATTTGTGTGGCATTTAGGAATCTTAGGCTCGTGTGCTTTTTAGATGATTTATTACTACTTGTACCACTCCTTGTGTAAGTCTTCTTTTAAATGCAGATGGGGATTTGTGTGGCCTTTAGGAATCTTAGGCTCGTGTGCTTTTTAGATGATTTATTACTACTTGTACCACTCCTTGTGTTTATTGAGTATCTCTTAAAATTCTTAGCCCTATATCAGATGTATCTTCTTTTTGAAAATGGTAAATACTTATTAAAAATTTTGTCTGAAAGTTACATTTTTATTCCTCATTAAATTTGTTGTTCGATTAAGATTGTTTTATAGCTTTTCCAATTCTCCTTAGTATTCATATTTGTTCTGATACAATTTCTGTGATGCAGTGGTGTTAGAACTCAAAGATAAACTTTTGCTAAGATTCTGCTGAGTGCAGATCATAGATGTAATAAATGGTTAAGTTTGAAAGCTCTAACTTACCATGTAGATTATCCAGTAAACTGAAGTAATCATTTTGTTCCCTCAACCAACGTATATTTTATGTTTAGTACATGGCCAGGTTTCTGTGTAGAAATGGCTAAGATATGCTTTACCAAGGAGAGTGAGTTCAGGGGAAAAAACACCTTTAGGTTTGAAAAGACAAAAAAAAATTAGGACCATATTTCATCTTTTCAGCAGTAATCTGGTTGGGAATTGTATATGTGTCAACTGTTATTTCCCATTACATCTCCTTTTTTTTTTTTTTTTTTTTTTTGTTTAGCTCAAGGAGAAATTGAAGCCATAGTCGTGCCTGTTTGCTTAGCATTCTTATTGACAACTCTTCTGGGAGTATTATTCTGCTTTAATAAGCGAGACCTGTGAGTACTCATATTTTTGCATTTTTCCCTACCTTTACTGAGCTATAATTTACAACAAAATTCATTCATTTTAGGTGTACATTTTTAATTTTTGTAATTGTATACAGGTGTACTTATATTAACTACTACCATAATCAAAATATAGAACATTTCTATCACCCTAAAAGGTTTCTTCATTCTGTCACCATTCTCTTTCAACCCTTGACCCCAGGCAATCACTGATCTGCTTTCTGTAACGTTTTGCCTTTTCTAGAATTTCACATAAATGGAATCAACAGCTTGTAGTCTTTTGTGTTTGATGTCTTTCACTTAGCATAATATTTTTGAGATTCATTCATGTTGTTGTATATACTAGTATTTTTCTCCTTTTTATTGCTAAATAGTGTTTTATAGTTATGGATATATTTATTCATTCATCTGTTATGGAAGTTTAGGTTGTTTTAATTTGGGGCTATTACGAATTATGTTGCTGTGAATAATCACATATAAAACTTTGCGTAGACATTTGTTTCCATTTATCCTGAATAAGTAACTAGGACTGGGGAGTGCTGGGTCGTGTGGTAAGTGTATGTTTAACATAAGACACTGCCAAGCTTTTTCAAAGTGGCTACACCATCTTGCATTTCCTCCAGCACTGTTCCATATTATCACCAACACTCGGCACTGTTAGAGTTTTTCATTTTAGTGATTCTAGTGGGTGTGCAGTACTATCTCATTGTGGTATTTATTTCCATTTCCCTGATGATTAGTAATGGAACTTTTCATGTGTCAACTTACATATCTTCTTTTGTGGTGTGCCTATTGAAATCTTTGCTCATTTTCAAATTTGGTTGTTTTGTTAGCTGAAAGGGTTTTTCATATGTTATGTTTACAAAATTTTTGTCAAATATATGTTTTGAAAATTTTTGTCCCAGTCTGTGCTTTTAACTTTTTTCTTAACTGTGACTTTAGAAAAGCAAAAGTTTTTAGTCTGGGTGAAGTACATTGTATGAGTTATTTTTTCTTATGGTTCTTGCAGTTTGTGTCCTGTTTGAGAAATATCTGCCTACTCCAGTGTTACAAATATTTTTTCCTATATTTTCTTGTAGAGGTTCAATCATTTTGGCTTTTATGTCTGTGATCCACTTTGAGTTAATTTTTGTGCATAGTGTGAGGTCGGGGTCAAGTTTCATTCTCCACCCTGACCCCCCACCCCCGATATCTAGTTCCAGCATGATTTGTTTTGAAAGGGCTATCTTTTTCCCATTGAATTGCCTTGGTATCTTTGCCAAAAATCAATTGCCCATATAAGTCTATACCTATTTCTGGACTCTTCAGTTCTGTTTCATTAATCTTTGTGTCTGTTCTTATGCCAGTACCACACTGTCTTGATTAGTATAGCTCTATAGTAAGTTTTGAAGATAGGTAGAATTCCTCCAACATATTCTTTTCTCAAAATGATTTTGGCTAGGTTTTTTGCCTTTTCATATAAATCTTAATATCAGCTTGTCAAATTTTTTTTGAAAACTCGTATAATTTTGATTGGGATTTTATTGAATTTAGAGATAATTTGGGGAGAACTGCAATCTTAACGCTATTGAGTCTCAATCTGTGAACCTGGCTTATCTCTTTACTTATCTCTTTACTTGCCTTGATTTTGTTTGATTTCCTTCTTCAGTTTTCAGTGGACAGGCCTTGCACATCATGTGTTACAATCTGTGAACCTGGCTTATCTCTTTACTTATCTCTTTACTTGATTTTGTTTGATTTCCTTCTTCAGTTTTCAGTGGACAGGCCTTGCACATCATGTGTTAAATTTATTCCTAAGTATTTTTTAAAGTTAGTATGAAAGGAATTTTTTAAAAATCTTATTTTCTATTGTTATTGTTAGTATTTAGAAATACAGTTGATTTTTTAATATATTGATCTTGTAAACTGAGACCTTGATAAATTCATTTATTAGTAGCTTTTTGGATTCCTTAAGATTTTCTACATATACAGTTATGCTGCCTGCAAGTAATTATAGTTGTTCCAATCACTATGCTTTTAGTTTTTGGGGGGTTTTTTGGTCTTAATGCACTGGCTAAGCCTTCAGTACAATATTGACTATAAGTGGTAAGAGCTGACATCTTTGCCTTGTTCCTTATTTTAGTAGAAAAAGTATTTTAGTCTTTCACCATTACATGTGATATTACCTGTAGGTTGAGGAAGTTATATTTTTATTTGGCTGACAGTTTTTATTATGAATGGGTGTTAAATTTTGTCAAATGTTTTTGCTGAATCTAATGAGATGATCATATGGTTTTTATCCTTCCTTCCATGAATATGGTGAATTTTATTGATTTTCATATATTAAATCATCCTTGCATTCCTTGGATTTTGCTGCATTCAGTTTGTTAAATATTTTTACATTTATCTTTATGACTGATGTTGGTCTGTCCTTTTTTATGTGTGATGTCTTTGTCTGGTTTTAGAATCAGGGTAATACTGGCTTCATAAAATGAATGGGAACATGTTACCACCTCTATTTTCCAGAAGAGTTTATGTAGTATTGGTATTATTTCCTTTTTCAATGTTTGATAAAGTTCACAAATAAAGCCATCTGGGCTTGGAATTTTCTGGGAAGGTTTTTAAACAAAAATTCAATTTCTTTATAAATATAGCAAAGCTTTCTTTTTCTTCAGTCTGTTTTGGTAATTTGGTAATCCTTTCAAGGAGTGTGTCCATTGGTTGATCAATTTGTATAGGTTGTCAGCTTAACTGCTTTTACATTGTATCCAGATTTTATAGGTGTTTCCTGCAATAGAGTCAGTCTGGTAGGATCTCACTCTGTCTTACCAGAATCATCATTCTCATATCTGTTTTTAACTTTAATTTTTATATTTGAACTTATTCTCAAGATGACTCACTGTATACTTATGAACTCTAACTTTGAGCTAGGAACTATATTAAGGTAAATATACTTAAGTAGGTTTTTGATGATATGGATTATCCTGAATGAATTGGGTATTTTAAATATTGTTAGCCTTTTATTGTTTTAAGAAAAAAATCAAGTTTATGATATTTTATTAGATATCAATGTGAACATATGTTTTTATTTAGATTTTTTTAAAATTGGAAATTGGACATTTTTTTGCTTTTGTTGGGAGGGGGTGCACCACAACATGCTGTGGCATGGATAAAATTTTTAAGTGGATTTGCAGAATTTGATTTGAATCTGGGAGATTTTTTTTAAGTTGAATACTGATTATTAGCTTTAGCCTTATTAACAAGTTTTCATTATAAGTCCATTAAGATCCATATGCGTTTTCTTTTTTTTTTTTTTTTTCCTTTTCTGTCTTTTTTCGTGTCCGACAACGGACCGCAACCCTCAGTGTCACGCCCGTACCGGACCGGGACCGGCAACGGGATCGCAACCCTCGGTGCTGCGCCCGCCCCTCGCTCAGCCAGTGAGCAGGAACCGGTCTGTATGTGGGATCCGAGCCCTCGGCGGGAGCGCTGCCGCGCTCCCAAGCAGCGCACTGTAGCAGTGCGCCACCGGGCCAGCCCAAGATCCATATGCGTTTTCAACAGTATTTTTCTGTTTGTTACAAGAAAAATAATTTTTTTTGCTTGGCTTTGGGGTAAAGTAGGTATTTTTTGTTCATTTAGTTAATTGGTTTGGTTCTTAAGATTCTTAGATGAATGTCTCTAGAAATAGGGACTATTTATTGTCTATTGTGTGTGATTCTACACATGCTATGTTTCTTTTTTGTTCAGAATTAAAAAACACATCTGGCCTAATGTTCCAGATCCTTCAAAGAGTCATATTGCCCAGTGGTCACCTCATACACCTCCAAGGGTAAGATAAAATGCTTCTGAGTTGTTTATAATACACAGACATATTAGGATACATCTGTAGAATTCAACCAAAAGATATTCAAGCTGAATCAGGAAGTAAATAAAAATAAAATAGTATATAAATGAAAATTTTAATCAAAATTTAAAATAATACCTACACATTCTAGGGGTTTGTCATCATTACAATATATTTGTTCTGACATTTCTATTCTATTCAGTAAACATTACAAGTATTTTATTGAACTTGCAAACTGAAGACTTAAAGTGCTAAAACTGCTAGGTGATGGTAATACTGTACTAAGGCAAGCATTTTAGATTGAATATAAAATCAAATTTAATAGTCTACCATCTTAACACTGAAGAAATGATTACGGGGAACCTATACTCAACTCTTTCAGCTTAAAATATACCCCAAAGGGGATATAATTATATTATCCTCCAAAAATCCTTGAATTTTATATGAATAGATTAAAATGTGTTGTATTTTTATATTCTACAAAACCTCAGTCATTCAAGTTTGATTTTTCTTAATGTTTCCTAGTTTTTCTATCCAGTTAATTCTAGGCTGCCTAGTCTGGGCATGATATATTAAATACTATTTGTAGACCATTAGCTTATCAAAATGTAACATCAACAATATTGATTTGAAAGGTCTAAGGAAATATATAGCCTGATTCAGATTCTTAGACTTATTTTACAATGTCTGTGATTTGAGTGGTTGACGGTAATTTAGTGACATAATATAGGTTATTTCTGTACCACTGAAAGTTACTGAGAAGTTTTAGAGGTACATTAGCTCTGTGACTTTAATATTTGCCATATGTATCTCTGAGATTTTCTAAATGAACATATGCCATAGGTAATAATCCATTTTCTCTCTTTCTTAGCACAATTTCAATCCAAAAGACCAAATGTACTCAGATGGCAATTTCACTGATGTAAGTGTTGTGGAAATAGAAGCAAATGACAAAAAGCCTTTTCCAGAAGATCTGAAATCATTGGATCTATTCAAGAAAGAAAAAATTAGTACTGAAGGACACAGCAGTGGTATTGGGGGATCTTCATGCATGTCATCTTCTAGACCCAGCATTTCTAGCAGTGATGAAACTGAATCTGCACAAAACACTTCAAGCACTGTCCAGTATTCTACTGTGGTACATAGTGGCTACAGACACCAGGTTCCATCAGTTCAAGTCTTCTCAAGATCTGAGTCCACTCAGCCTTTGTTAGATTCAGAGGAGCGGCCAGAAGACCTACAATTAGTAGATAATGTAGACGGCAGTGATGGCATTTTGCCCAGGCAACAGTATTTCAAACAGAACTGCAGTCAACATGAAACCAGTCCAGATATTTCACATTTTGAAAGGTCAAAGCAAGTTTCATCAGTCAGTGAGGAAGATTTTGTTAGACTTAAAGAGCAGCAGATTTCAGATCATATTTCACAGTCCTGTGGATCTGGGCAAATGAAAATGTTTCAGGAAGTTTCTGCAGCAGATGCTTTTAGTTCAGGTATTGAGGGACAAGTTGATAGATTCGAAACAATTGGGATGGATGCTGCAGTTGATGAAGGAATGCCTAAAAGTTACTTACCACAGACTGTAAGACAAGGTGGCTACATGCCTCAGTGAAAGACTGGTTCCTGTTACAACTTCAGCAGTACCTGTAAAATAAAGCTTAAAATATTTCATCTGTGAATTCAGATAAAAAATTATCTTCACTCCCTGAAGATGATCATTTGCCCTTAAGGACAAAAATGTACTGAACTTCACATGGGCTATTTCCATTCCAGTATATCTGGGATTCTACTTTGAGCACTACATAAACTGACTTTATCCTCTGAATAGCTGAATGAGTTTGTGCTGTTTCAGGATGTTTGCACTGAAGAAAAACAAAGCTTGTCTGAAATTTATAAAGTAAAACTTCATTTTGCTACACAGAAAACAGAGGGTATTTAAATAATAAGCAGTGATATACTTATTGAGCACAGCTATACTGATTTGATGAGAATAGTCATCAAATAAAGTGGCTTAGGGACAGTTAATATAGAGGATCAACTCTAGCTGACAACATAGTTTAAAAAGAGTCTATAGGGCTGTATGAGACCAGCTTTTGTAGTCTGACAAAAAAGTAGGGGGGCTCGTTTATAGTTAATATGAACATATAAAGTGTTAGTTCCTTTGCATTGGTAATGATGCTGCCAGTTGTTGCTGGAGAAAAGGAATTCCAGAGCTATAATGTGGCAGATTTAAAATATCCATCTTTTTAAAATTACATAGTCAATAATCTCACTAGATTTTTTAAAATTTGCTTTTTATCGACAGCCTCTTTGATGATCTATTTCACAAATTCAGTGGAGTAGCCTGGTAAGAGCTAGGAATGAACACAACAAACTATCAAGCATTTTAAAAATTGTTTGCCACTTATAAAGACTTAGATTAACATTTTTCTATACCTATACATATATACATATATCATTGATCTTGTTAAGATTTCAGAGAATTTGGTTGATAAAGCACTTTATACGTCTTCAGCTTAAAATGTGTTTAATTCAGTATACTTGTTTTTTATTTTTAAGTGGGCCAAGACTTAAAATTTTCTTTTTTTCTGGTAGGTGTTTGAAGCAAACTGAGTTAGAGGATTTGGGCAGTATACACCAAAACAAACAAAACAGAACCCAAAGATGTACACATTGATCTTAGTATAATTAGCAAATACCCTTATTGTAGAGACACTTAATAAAAAGACGGTATTTTAATATCTGCCATTTCTGAGATAAGGTGGAACTTAGTTTTACTTTGTGATTTAGAAATATTTTGAACAGAACTGGAAAAAAGATGTTTTTCAGTGGAGAAGTGAGCCACACCTCTGAAGTTTAGCACTAAAGCCTCTAACGCATTTATGTTGTCCCTAACCACCACATGTGACATGGAGGCAGGAGCTAAAGATAAGGGCTAAGTAAGAAGAAATTGTCATGCATCATTAGTGGTTGACTACTGCTATCAAGTGAGTTTAGAGGAAGTAGATTTGGTTTTCTTTCATATTTAAGTTACTCACAGAAACCAGGCAAATTTAAACTAGTTTGTAGAGGCTATTGAAGAATAAAAGGCTAAGAAAAATGGTATACATTCACAGTTGAAATGTAATTCTACTTTTTACTTTCTCAGAATATTTTTCACATTAGACTTCCTGTTACATTTTATCCTTCATATTCTTGCATTTATATAAGGACTAATATTTTTCCAACTTCTTTTACATATATGATCTTTGGGATACAGTTAAATAGGTGGTTTATTCTGAGAAATCCAGTTTTCTACTTTAAGCAAAAGTAGATTGGTAGAGTGACAGAATTAGAAGTAGATGAAGAAAGTTAGGCACAAAGGTCAAGTAGGGACAGAGACCCACATTCACACTATAAGATCGTGGCATCACCACCATTTAAGTTGGTCAGTAAAGGCGGGGCCAGATCAGGACTGGATTTGTCTTGCTATATACCAGCTTACTTCAAAAAATTTATGGAAAAATAGAACTAAAAGATAATACAAATCTTTCCATGAACTTTTTGAAGGCCCTCCTATATCTGTCAGAAAATTGATATCTATTACATTTTTCAATTCCTCAAAATAAGTAGTCATGCTATTGTAATTGTGTTTAGCTGTAACCTTCCTCATAACAAATTACAGTGTTGTGAAAGAAACTTTGTAGTGTGAAGTTTGTCCATTTGGGGAGGCAGTTATAAAATGTGAACTCATGGTCGAAGGGGATGAGAATGAAGGGTCATTGCAGACAGGACCTCGCATACACAAATTTGCATGTTGAAACCTTTATAGAAAGAACGTGGTACAGTGAGTGAATGCCTCTAGCCACAAGAGCACTTGAGACAAATTTAATGGATATATGGTTACTGTGCAAAACTTCATTCAGGAAATGAAGATATATTTGAGCACTAATATGTAATGTACGTTTTTGCCCTAAAGAGAAAAGCAATCATAAAACTTTTTCTTAAATACAAGATTACTTTCCTAGAGCATGTCTTAGAATAACTATGTTTTGTGCATGTAAGTTGTATTTTAGGTAGGTAGAGAAACAAATCTGGTTTGTTTATGTAAAAACTGAATTCTCCCCCCAGCAGCAAAAACTAGTCTAATAAAGTTAGTGGATTTATTACTTTTTAAATATTTAGTGTCTAAAAGTGTTTAAAGTAATGCTACTACATCAGAAAACAGCCTCTTTGTGGACAAAACTAATTCACGGCTTCTAATGCAATCGTACTCTTTAGGATTAAAAAAAGATTCAACGTATATTATGTGTTGCCCTTGTAATTTGACTATCAGTTACTGGTGTATTTGGTATCCTGCCCTCATCTCTCATAAACGGATAATGCAGAATAACTGTTAGAAAACTGTGAAACTTCAGACTTTCCAATAAAATCTAAAATTGTAATCTTTTTTAGCATGAATCAATCAGCATTCAGAAACACACCCAATATTTGAGTAGAAGCAGGGAGAAAAAAGCAAAATTGTTTATATTCTGTGTTCATGTCAGTTCATTACCTAGTTTGATTTCAACCTTATTCCTTGATAAGGGATTTTACCACATGAAGTCATTAATCTCTTATAAGTCTTCCTAGCTCTTATTATGAAGTTAAAGGTTAATGAAGTTGAAATATATCTACAAAACATTTATTTATTAAAGCTTATATTTAAAGTGAAACATCTAAAGTGGTTTTAGAAATAGAAATCAGACACAAGTAATTTTTAAAGATGTCTTTTTTCTACCCACACAGTTAACTAGTTAAAACTATTACATAAATGTAGAAATAGAGTAATCATATAGAATTCCCAAAAGTAGTCCTGTGTACTGGCATATATTGACCGAGTGAATCAAGCAGGAAATATCTTCCTCCATTCTGCTATATTCCACATTATTCTCCTGTTTGATTTTGCTGAGTTGGTATTAAGAGCAAATTTCTAAATCATATTCTTATGTTTCAATAAAGTTTTATTTTGTTGAGATGAGTAAAATATCAAAATAATAAGCTACATAAAACTTAAAAGTTTAATGGTTTTAAAAAAGTTGTTGGGAGAGCCCTTTTTTTTTATAGCTGGCCAGTATGGGGATTGAACCCCAGACCTTGGGGTTATCAGCACAATGCTCTAACAAGCTGAGCTCACTGGCCAGCCCTGGGGCCTTTTATTGTAGGTATCATTGTTATATTGCCCAGGTAAGGTTATTTAAAAAAAAATAAAAATAAAAATAAAAAGTCATACTTTTTTGTTAATTAAAAGAATATGGAGCCATAAAATGGCAAGGTGTGTACAGTCAGCCTAAAATTGGGCATTGTCACAGATTTCAGAGGTTTAAACTAGCAGACTTACAGCCTAATTCTTTGGACTGCAGTTCCTTTTCAGACTGTTTATAAACAGGACTCAGATATAAGTCAAAACAAAACTTTCCAAAGCCGACTGTAATATCTTTTGGATTAATCTACTCTTTCCATTATGTAATTATATATGCGACTAGTATGTGCATTACCACGATTTTTTTTTTTTTGCTGCTGGCCGGTACAGGGATCTGAACTCTTGACTTCTGCATGATATTCTTGTATGGACTGCATTAAAAATAAAAAGGTGGCAGCTTAGGGCGAGCTCTTCTGTCATTCATTTGTTCCTAAATTTTTAAGGGCTTTTTGCAAGTCACTAGTTCCCACAAGCTGGTTAGTTTACCCAGTTAATTAAAGTTGGTGGATCATTATGAAAATGTATTTAAGGCCAGTGGTGATAGATGTTCCAGATCTTTTATTTCTTGAACACAAGCTTTGTCTGAATGGTAACTAAAGGTTTTATATGCTGTTACATGAATATCAAACTGTGATCTGTAAGAAACAAAGGGATATTTTAAAGGTCGATATTTGAAAATTCTTTAGTCTTAATGTATATTGAATAATATACTCTAAAAATGTATGTGCAATTTGCTAGCACGACAATGCAGTAATTAGCATTAGGTACGAGGGTACTTCAAAAAGTTCATGGACAGATTTGTATTATCTACCAATTTTATTTTTCCATGAACTTTTTAAAGTACCCTCAAATGTCTCCTTTCTATAGTCCAGCTATGTCCCATTTATCTTGTAAGTGCAATCCTTTCACATTTGCTTGCTGTTTTACCCCACCTAATCTAAGTTCATTTGGAAGCCTTGTCTGGAGTATTGTATGTATTTTTACCTTTGCAGTGAATTGCATGTGCTAATTGTAACCACAGTTATTATGTTGACATAACTCTAAATGTTATAGTAAATGTTCTATTATATATCAGCTCTAATCCTTTAAGTAAATATAAGAAATAAATTCTTGTTGGTATTTTTGTGTGTGTGATCACTACCATCTGTCTACACATAATGTTTGAGATAACAGTATTTACCACTACTGGTGTTGGATAAACAAGTGTCTTAGTTTAAACTAGATGCTTTAGGAGGGTTCTGTATTGTTTTCAATGCTCATTTGGCATAATTGAATAAGATTTAGAAGAAAATCGATACACTGTCTTGGCCTTAATAACATCGAATGGAGGTGGTAGATTCATTTACCAGTTTTCCAGATTTATTAGATGAGTTCTGGAATCCCCAGCATCCTACCTCCCAGTAGATTTTTTTTTTTTTAACCTATTGGGTTACCAAGGGACCAACCAAGTACAGTCATCTCTTAGTATCATGGGGGATTGGTTCCAGGACGTTCTATGGATACCAAAATCTGTAGATGCTCAAATCCCTGATACAAATGGTATAGTATTTGCATATAACCTACACTCACCCTCCCATATACTTTAAATAATCTCTAGATTACTTAGAATACCTAATACAGTGTAAATGCTACGTAAATAGTTGCCATACTATATTGTTTAGGGAACAATGATGACAAAAAAAGTCCATACATGTTAAGTACAGATGTAATTTTGTTTCCAAATATTTTTGATCTGTCGTTGGTTGAATCCACAGATGCAGAGAGCCTCCTGTACAGAGGTGCTGTGCCATCTTGTGGCCTGTCTGTGCCCACACACTGCAGGAGTCTCTGTGCTTGTCACAGTGAGGCATGAAGCAGATTGATGAATAGTATCTCAGTGCTACCTCTTGAGGTTACTGAGTAGTGGTGTATAAAACTAACTTAGTCAACAGTCCACCTGGGAGAAAAAAAATCCTAACTAAGATTTGCATGCCTTTACACTGTAATTTTACCTAAAACATGCAGTTAGTCCCACACACAAAAAAAAGATCCACAAACCAGCCAAGTAAATTTCATTCCTTCACTACAGGGGTTTCCAAAAAGTTTGTGGAAAGATAGAATTAAAAGATAATACAGAGCTGAGAAAAGAAAATAAAAGTAAGAATACAGAGCTGGCTGGTTAGCTCACTTGGTTAGAGTGTGGTGTTGGTAACACCAAGATCAAGGCTTCAGATCCCCGTACTGCCAAAAAAAAAAAAAGATAATACAAATCTTTCTATGAATTTTTTAGAGTACCCTCATATATACCAGAGTTTGTAGAAATAATATCTTGGCTTTGGGCTATGAGTTCCTCTGTTTAAAGTCTTAGACTTGGCTGTGGCTCTTATAGGCTCAACCTGACTTCTTAAAGGTATGATGTCTCTTGTCTTATCCTAATTTGTGCGATGGATACAGTCCATCCTGCTTCCAAAAAGATTACATAACTCCCTTAGAGCATCTGTTTCCCTAGCCCAGAGGCAGAGAAACAATGTTCTTGTTCCGGATTGCTTAACTTTCCACTTAAACATTTTTCTTTTTAAAATAATATAAACATTCCTTACACACTTTCAAAATATAAAACTTATTACAACAAACTATGTATATGCTCTTTACATCTAATGCTTTAGCTAAAGTGAACAATAGGAGAAAAGGAGAGCCAAGGTAGGGAAAGAAGAAAGTGAACTAAAGCAGACGAAAGCTCAGACGACTCTGAATCAAGGTAAACAGCTCAAGTCCCTGTTGCTGCGGCTCATTTAGGTCAGCTTTTGGCCAACCTAGAAAGACCTTAGAAAAGCTACTTGGTGTCTCAATGGCTTAACACAGTTCTATTTCCATTTAGGTGAAGAAATCTACCTTTATACCAAAATTCAACCTTCGTTTTTAAATTATAGTTATTTTCTCCCAACTGCAAAAGGTTTTAAACAGATATGAAGGCATAGCTTAGTTTCAGAAATCTTAGTTACAGAAATGTGGACATTCAAATCTAAATCTTTTACATTTATTCCTCGTAACTATGGTTATATCCCTTTACATGTCAGAAAAGTGTAATTGGAATGGTCATTTATCATTTTTTAACTTTTTTAGTGAAAATTATCCCCCCAACTTAAATGGCTTTTTCTTTACACATTTATGCATTTTGTATGAAATTGGAATTTTACTGGGATAACATGGTGAGATATATAGTGGGAAACCCCACACACAAAAATGCAAGTGAAAAAAAGAACTAAGGTAAAGTGTTTCTCACTCTTCAACTGCCTCATCAGCTCTGGCTGTAGACAACCCTTTTGAGACAGAGTAGCCAGAGTAACCAAGCAGTCAGAAGTGTTTTATCCTGCAGAGTACTTGTTCAAACACTGAGTGAGACCCACCTACTGACTAGTCTCATGCTTGGTCCAGGCCCACATTTCTAGGACACTTCTTTCAGTAACAGTTCAAGGTACTACTATTCAGTACATTTCTGGGTCCTGTCCCTGTAGGAAATTGTTTTCCCTGCAGTTTTGGTTATAGCCAGAAAAAGCTGGCTGACTAGTGATAGCTTTTAAGTGAATTAATATAAATTTCTCTGGAATTGACTCCATAAGCTTCCATGAGGGGATCATGCTTTTAAATCAATGGCCTGAAAAAGAACATTTAAATAAAAAGGTACCCAAAGGCACTGAGATTCTGACAATAGAAAATATTATTCTGCACAAGCATTCAAAGAATGAGAAGCCAGCCACTCTTCACTACAGGTCAGAGTCAGTGTGGATTTTGCCAGCCGTTCATTCAATCTAGACTTACAAACCCCAGGACTATTAGAGCTTAGGAAAGGGCATCTGAGAAAATCTAAGCACCGTGTTTAGAGCTGTGACTAGAAATTGCTGCAAGGTTGAGGGGCTGCTCCTCTTCCAAGCAAGTCGGCAGACATTTCTGCTCATCTTCTGGGGCTCCATACCAGTGCTGAGTGTCAGAGGTGAACAAAACACACCATCTGTAGAGGATTTTCTTTAGGTCATTAAATCCTTGGGAACTCTTAAGAGGTTAATATCAGCACCATTTGCAGACTTAGGCTCTAAGAGGTTGGATAACTTGCCCAGGGTCATATGGTTGACAAATAGCAAAGTCAAGTTCGAACTCTAACCTGACTCTAAAGTCCACATTCTTTGGCGTATATACCAAACATACCAAACTACTTTTAGCAAGAAT